AGTTGCTTCTATCTCTTTTTACAAAAAACTAGATAGGTTTACAAGAATGCTCACTGATACATACTTTTAGCCTGATGGACCTATTTATATTAGATAGAAATTTTTTAGCTTTATTAGCTCTATATTTAATCAAATAACATTTTTGTACTTAGTTTTTCATGCTGATTCCGAATATGATGGGTTTAAAAAGCTCACAAAATAACTGAAATTGAAATTCGATAATTTCTATAGAAAAAACAAATTCAACTAAAAAATGGTATTTTTTTAGTCCTTCTAGTTTTTTAAGATTTTCTCAGTCATAGAATGGTCACATCAAAATAAAAAGTATATATTCGTGATCAGCTTTTCAAGCTCTATCAAACAATGTATAGACGAACGAAAAATAAAATCCACTGAAATTTTGCATTAGCGGCACCTTAGTTTTCAATAAATTATGACCTAAAGTGTTCTCAGAACGTCACTTTTCTGAAAATAATATGAAGAAAGGAATTCTGGTGTCCTTCGATGACAGCAGCAACGCCTGTTAAGAAAAAAATTGAAAACCTCTGCAAAGTGGACACCTCCTTATAATGGACACTTTTAAATAGTCCCTTAGGTGTCCACGATAGAGAGGTTGTACTGTAGATTAATTCTGTAGAGACAAAACGATAAGTAAATTGACTATTATGTTCTTCAAGATAAAAGAAAAGAGAACAATATGCAAATAAATGGTTAATGCAACATGGAATAAAAAACAGAACAATACTCATTTCGAAGGCTTATCAACAGTGATAATCTTTTATAATGACAAAAATACTTTTTATAATAATTTCGAAAAAGAGATCTTGTATTGTTTTATTCGAAAGAAAAGTCTTTTTTTCATAATTTTTTAGCTAAAATTTCTTTAAAGTATATATTACTCAACGGTAAACAATTCGTTGTTGCAGCATCGACAAAAACCGACTTGTTTTCTTAACGTGAAAAGTTTAGAATCAACATTCAGAGGCTTCCCATATTATCCGAAGAGTTTTTATGGTTGCTCTTTTCATTTTTATCATGAAAAAAAAATATCTTCTAATAATCTCTTTTTAGATAAACAAGGTTAAGCTTCTTGAAAGAATATTTCAAAATGTTTATATAGAAAATCTTTTTACTATCATCTTGAGAAATGGTTCAAAATTTTATTTCGATTCTAACTGATAAATGTGACACTCCGACTCAGTCAGATAACTAATAGATAAGTAGTAGCCTACTTAATTTTATATCTGTAAAATACTAGTGAATAATAAATCTTATTAAAGATAATTAAGTTTTTTTCAAATTGTTTCTCATCTATTTTTATTTGTAGATTTCTCTTAACAAATATTATCTTGAAACTCCACTTCCTTTTATTTTTGGTTGTTTTTTACTCAGTAAAACAAAAAAAAAGCAAAAAGCAATCGACAGTAAAAATCGTATCGCTACTTATTGAAAAAAAAGTGGAGGTTACGTATTATCAACCAAAAAAATGGCTTCACATTCACGATTATATATGCGTTTTCGCCCTCCACGTATTCATGGCATCGCAAGTACAATCAAACAAATAAATGTTATCATTTTGGATATTGATATGAATCATCTTGTCATAACTGATCTACAATTTCAAGTGAAAATATTCAATGAAGTTGAAGTTGATGCATGTGTTGATTACTTTAAATTCGTGATTACAGATGTATATTTATTAACGTCCTACACCTACACTACTGATAACATACTCATTTCAATGATTCGTGATTATCGAGAAGTAACATTGATTTATATGTTCTGTAAAAATGAACAATATCAAAATTATTCAAAACTACGAAGTATTTTAACGACATAAATATGATGCTCAAACAATTTCAAGAGGATATTACTGAACTTAAGAGTCAATATCATACTAATGAAAATACATTTCAGAATATAAATTTAGAGAGCACTGAAATAGTTTAGTGGAAATTTTTCGATAGAATCTTACAATACATCCAAACATACAAAACATTGTCAAAGATGAGATTATAGCATTCTTTCAGGAATTTTGTCGAGACAATAAACATGCACTAAGAGAAATTGAACAGTTCAAGAAAAACTATACCTCAGAAGAAGCTATTTATTGGTATATCAGTCAAACTTTTCTTTATCGTGTCTTGAATAAAACACTTCGAACACGACAGAATTTAAACAATCTATTTAAACTTCGGTTGATTCTTACTGATTTTGCATCTGGATTAAAAACTGTACAGTTGGATCAACCGTACTTGAATGATCATCCAATTATACTATATCGTGGTCAATTAATGAGATTAGATGAAAAACAACGGACTGTAGTCCACTGTCGGCAATCGAATTTTATCTCGTCAATTTTTCTCGACCACTTGGTGTAGAATGGTTGCGACAACGTATGCTGAACGGTGTATTCCGGATATGTCCAGTCAAAGAATATTGTTTGACATTGAAACAGATTTATTAGATATCAGTAGTGACACAATGCCGTTTGCTGATATTTCGAAATATAGTGCTCATTAGGAGGAAGGAGAAGTCTTATTTTCAATGCACTCAACATTTCTCGTACAATCAATACAATTAGATGAAGATAATATTTGAAATATTAATTTAAAATTCATGAATAATCTCTGGGACACAGATTTTGATGAAAGAAGTATATTTAGTTGACATATAGATCAAATTTATATTCGAGATTTATCAAAAGAAAATAAACAATTTATTGCTTTTCAATTATTGGTGGATATGATGCTTCGATTAGATCAAACAAAATATGCTAAAGATGAACTTTTAGAATTTTGTAGATCAAAATACGAAGATGATTTAATAGAGCTGAAGAAAATCAATAATTTTGATCAGAATTATAAATCAAAAAAATGCTGCTAAATGGTATACAAAATATAGTTTTTTATATCGTTTATTAAATAAATCTCTTCATATTAAAACTATTGATAATATTGTCAAGATGAGATATTATATTCATGATTTACATAATCAATTAGCTGAATTACAACCATCATTTATTCAATCTTTAAATGGACAAATGAATTTAATATTATATCGAGATCAAACTATACAATTTATAAACATTTACAAAAATGTCTTAGAATGAAATATTTCTTATATAGAAGAAAGAATATTTTTAGTTTTCAATACAAATCGAAGACGCGATAAAATATCAGTTTCCAATTCGAGCATTTTTATCAACAAGTATTGGCTTAAAAGAGATACATTCCGAGGTATAATCTGTATTTGGAGAAATCTTATCAAGTAAATTCATAGATTTATTATAACATTCAATGGCTTGTTTATAATCACCTGATGTTGCAAATATTAATCCCATATTATTATAAATTGATGGTAATGCTTGATGATTTTCTGGCAATTTATTTATCAGATATTCATAGTAAGATTTTGCTTCATTGAAATGATTGAGAATAGACAAATAATTTCCAAGAGTTAACCAAGTGAGTTGTTCACCTACTTGAAACTGTAATTGTTCTTGAATTGATTGAAATTCAGAATTAGTATATTTTAATTCAGCATACCAGACATCATCAGGTTCTAAATCAATGGATTTAATACGAAATATAATACCAAATCGAAATAATAAACGGTTATTGTTCAATTCTAATACATATGCTCGTTTAGGAATATCAATCTGAAATATGATAACTAATAATCCACGATGAGCAGCTTGTCGTGCAATCGTTCGAGCAGTTAATAAGTCTTGTGTAGTTAGAAGATATGTATGAAAAGTAATCAATTGATTTACATTTTCTTGTATTGGTTTTAAGTCTTGTTCACGTAAAAGTTGAACTCGATAAACAACAGATGATGAAGTTGTTGGAAGTACATTAGAAAAATGTTCATCAATAGTCATAAGTATTTGTTGAATATCAAGAAGATTTTGAGGAATTTGTTCTTGTAAAAAACTGTTTATAATAATAGATAAGAATGACATGTTTATAAATGAATCGAAAATTTTATTTGTTTCAGTCTTTAATATTTCCAAAGCTTGTTCATTATCTGAATTATTTTCAGCTAGATAATAATTAACGATCATATAGTTTTTGTTTACGACAAATAGAAGAAGGTATTCACGTAAAGTATTTATAAATAATTGAAAAGCAACAAATTTTTCTTCTTTATCTGAAAGACATAATTTTCTTTTATCTTTTATATTACCTTGTAAAGTAAATACAGATATTGTAGATATATAATGTGAATATTCCAAGTAATATTTAATATCGATAATTAAACAATTGAGTAAAAATTCAAGATTATCAAATAATCTACCAATATTTTTATAAATCTGAATAGTTTCATCTAGTTCTTGTTCATTAATAATTTCCATAAATAAATAGATTGTATAAATTTGATTTATCATCATTATTGCTTTCAAATCATGTATGATATTTTTGTTCTCGCCAGATATAATAAAAAATATAGATTTAATATCAATTGTTTTAAGATATTCTATACATTTGTTCACATCGAAAAATTGAGAAAGATGAAAATGTTGACTGTTGATATTAAATAAAATATTATTGTCACAATGTAAAACTACAATATGAATTTGTTTATTTGAGATTAAAAATTTTTCTATGTTGAATATGTCTAATGAAATAGATGACTTATTTGATGAATCAATTAAAATTTGAGAATGACATTTTTCAAGTAATTCCATATTTGATAATAATGATAATCCTAAAAGATTCGATTGAATATCATCATATACTGCAGTTGAAAGAGTATTAAAATCTGTCCAACAATCTCGAATTTTCGAAAATTGAGTAATCCATGGAAGATTTTGTTGATTATCATTTGAACAATAGATATATATTTGTTCAATACATCGATGTTGATAAATTAATGGAATAACATATCTACCAATTAAATTTGAAACAATGAAATAAATATGTTTATCAGTTATAGATAAGAGACGAGCAATACAAATACATTCATTATCAAATGATTCGATTGAATATTTTGAATTTAATGTTATTAATGAAGAATCAATACCAAGACATGCAATAAGTATATTGAATGTATTATATGATATAGATTTCAAAAGAATTGGTATATTATTTGTACTACCTGTAAATAAAAAAAAACAATAAAAATAAAAATCTATCTAGAATATATAATTTACTTTGTTGAGAAGATGAATTAAAGTGTTTATATGGTTGTATAGAAATATCAATAAGATAGTTGTTGATAACTGAAGGTAATTGAACATCGATATTTTCATATGATAAATGAGACTAAAATAAATAAATTAAACTAAATTAAATTAACAAAACAATATTTGTATTTGAACTAAATAGAACAACTTGAATATGTAAGATGAAAAAGAATAATTTACTATACTAGAAGATTTAAACAATATTATCAGATAAAAAAATCAAGAGAATTTGTTTTTGTCAATTATGTAAAAAGATAGAGTAATCTTGACTTTAGTCAATGCTGAAAATTCAACCTTGCTAGATCTTCTTGTTCTCAAGTTATTCAAAAACTGATTAATTCTTAAATGAATATTAATTACCTTTTGTTCATTTTGTTTTGACATTATGTTATTATCTTCTTTGTGATATTGTTTCATTTCAATTATTTGTGATATTTCATCGATTAAATCATAGATTTCTATTAATTCTTGATAAACTGGATCATGTTCATGTTCAATATTTAATATTTTTGATTTAATTTTCGAAATGTTTTCTTCAAATTTTTCTAGATCATAATCATTTTGTTGAATATTCTTATAAATATTTTCTAACTCATGTTCAATATATTTCATTTCATTTTCGATCAATTGTATACATTGTAATGTTCCATTAATTTCATGTTTTAATTGTTGAATGTATTGTTGTAATTTATTTATTTTTTGTTTTTCCAAATGTTCTTTTTCATCTTCATATATTTCAAGTTTTTCGTTATATTTTTCTAATTCTTCTAATTGTTGTTCTAAATTATTTTGATATGCTTCAAGTATTGGTTGTTGTTGATCAACTTTATTTTTTATCATTTGTTGTTTCTTCTGAAGTTGATTCAATTCATTGTGTAATCGTGCTAATTTATTTTTATAATGTTCTATTAAATGTTGTAATTGTCTTGAACGAATTATATTTTGTTTTTTATCTTCTTCAAGTTTTTTTTGTTCGATTTTAGAACATTGTAATTCATCTGAAACATGAGTTTTTCTTATTTTTAATTGTTTTATGTCATTGATAAGAGTATTAATAGTTTGTTGTTGTTGTTGTTGATCAACTTGATTTTTGAAATTATCATCGTTTTCTGCCGATGCCATCTTGTATCGTTTGTATCAATACTTATCTTTTCAATATCTTTTTTTGTCTTATTTTTTTATTATCTAAAAGAAATAATATCAATAAAGAATGAACCAAGTATCAATACACAATTATCAAGAAAAAATGTCAATGTTGTTTTTTTTTCTTTCATCGCTATATATATATATGCCCTGTCGAAGTTATACCGGCGGACGATGTTTTAACTTCGTGAAAAAATTTGACGAAATCATAACTTCGTCGTATATATAAGAGACCTACAGCGCGCACAGCCTAATAGCCAGTATGACTCATTTTTCGGCAGTAGCGCCACGAGAAAATTTTTTGAGAGCGGTGACGGGGCGACCGCACCGCTCATACCTCCCTGCCCGAATGGCGGCCGGGTATCCGTGCCTTGACCATATTAGCTGTTAAGCTCCCTCGTTTAATTTGAACCTCGAGAAGTCTGTTGGATCTTTTTTCCTTTTGTTATTATTTTCCTTGTTATTATCGATGCTTCTTCCACAAAGAAAACACAAATTAAAACAAAAAAGCAACAAAATATGTGTTTCTCTCTTTCTCCTCTCCCATTCTTTACGTCCTCTTTATCTGCCGGATAATATGCCGTATAAAGAAAAGTGACATACTGCCCAGGTCGAGGAGAACGGAGAAAAAACGCGTGTGGAACGTACGAATGCATGAAAACGCATTTGTCACACGTTCGGAATGCATTCGATAGTGGTCGCACGTTAAGAGCGCTTTCGTAGCGTTTTTGCTCTCTTAATAGAGGTCATTATCAAAATGAATAAAGCAATGGTAGTTATTATATTCCCTAGACTGGAAGGCTAGGGTCTAGAAACCATAATTCACCTGTGTCTGTTTGTCCGTCTGTCCGTCTGTCCGTTCGTCTGTCTGTCTGTCTGTCTGTCTGTCTGTAACAAGCGCTTGGCACAAATGGCCATTTTTATGGCGCAAATGACCATTTTTATGGCACAAATGACCATGTTTATGGCACAAATGGCCATTTCCATGGCACAAATGATCATTTCTATGGCACAAATGGCCATTTTTATGGCGTAAATGACCATTTCCATGGCACAAATGACCATTTTTATGGCACAAATGGCCATTTCCATGGCACAAATGACCATTTTTATGGCACAAATGACCATTTTCCCGAGACTGAAGCGCT